CGGCGGCCGTCGACCCACAGGTGCAACTCAAGATGGACCGCGTCGTGGAGTACATCAAGAAGCTGCGCGAAATCACACAACTCCACGCCAAGCCCCAACAGCAGCAAGAGGAACAGCAGCAACCGAAGGAGACGACCGGTGGCAAGGGGGGTCGGAAGCGAGCACGTGTAGAGGCAGGCGACGCAAAGAAGGAATCCACGAGCGACGATGCAGTGCACGCAGCTGGCGGCGAGGCGACCGCTGATCCCTACGGTGACACAATTCTCTTCAACGAGGTGGAGCGCGGTGTGGGAAAGGCGTCGGCGTTGCTGCAGAACCTGCTGGGGCATGTAAAGGCATCGAGTAATTCCTGACGCTGATGGGTGTTGGGAGTGTGTATCTGTGTGCACGTTTAACAGCGGTGGGGGTTACCAGGCAAACACCACCACCACACAGAGTGGGGCAACCGTGCAACCTGACGGTACATGTTGATTGCCATTGACTGCATTTCTCTCTGCATCCTTTTTCATGGCTCTTTTGCAGCGGCGGTTCTCTTCCGCCTTATCCTTACATCCACATTACAAGAGTGCATAGGGTAAGATATTAAGACCCGTCACCCGGGGCTGTTGTATAACCCGCGTGTTGTCTCGCAGCGGGCGTACTTACTGTGATCGGCACCACCACCGCCATCATTCTTATTATCACAAACAGCGCAGCAGGAATTTCGGCGTTTATACGCGGCGAAGGAAAGTAATTCAACAATAACAACAACAACAAAAAATACCCCCTTGGGACCATTGTGTAGTTCTTTTTTTTTTGTGATTTGGACTTGAACACGGGAGGAGAGGGCGTCCTGTTATGCCAGCCCGACGCGGGGCATCGCCGCGAGACTTGAATGCACGTCCGTTGATAACGGTCGCAGCAGCGGTGGGAGTGGCGACGGCGGTGAGCTGCGTGGCACTCCTGCGTCACTCCAAGAGCCCTCGCAGGCGCAGCAGCTGCCCTTCGTGTGGGGCAGCCGCAGTACTGCTGTTGCTGCAACGCCTCAGCCGGCGCCACGAGCCGCACGTTGGCGCAATTGAACGCTGCATTGCGCGGCTCGGCTGGCCGGTGTGCGGCAATACCGTCGTCGTGCTTCGTACCGCCAACCCGTGCGACGCGGCATTGTACCACTCACTGCTGCTCCCGCAACAGCAAAAGCAACAGCAGCAGTTCGAGCGTATTCTTACGCTTGTAGTGGAAGTTGCTTCGGAACTTGACACAGCGATGATAGTGGAGGTGCGCACCCGTGAATACCACGAGAAATACATGCGCCAGTCTTCACTTGCGTTCTCTGCATCCGCGTCGTCGTCGCTGTCGTCATTGTCGTCTGAACTAACTCCTGCTGCGCCGTTCATGTGCGGGAGCGGAGACCGGATGGTGCTGTGCCGCATTGCGCTGCCGGACCAGCGTGTGTACCGCGACCTCCCGCCCATTGTGCCACGCCTCATTGCGGCTCACGCGGACAACAGACGCCTCTTCACCACTTACGCAGAGGAGCTGCTCTTCTACCTCCCCTTCATTGAGGGGCTGGGTGACCAACAGCAGCAGTACCACCACCATCGCTACAACTGCGGCCACTACCAGCGTCATCATGGCAACGAATACCTCCCAGACACCACAGCAACGGCAACTGCAACGACGATAGCAACAAAGACGGCACTGGCAGGCATTGATGATATTTACGGGGAGAGCACCAGCGAGCACAGTAGGCGCGGACCCTTGGACCATAACAACAAGAACAAAAGCTACGGAAGTAGCAGCATAAGTGCCGACAGTGGCGTTGCTGCCCCCATGCCGCTTTCCACGCGGGCGAACGATGACCTGATGGGCAAACTCCTTGGTGACGTGATTGATGTGAACGCGCTGATGTTCTCCACGTCGCTACAGGTGGAGTTTGGGGATGCCGCTTTCCACGCGGGCGACGATGCCGCCTCCGTCTGCCTCACCGCGGAGGAGCAGTTCATTCACGACGCCATTCATGAGGCGTACCTCCACGCGGTGCTGCGCACACCGCTCGCAGCCCCCGACCTCTCTGCTTCGCGGGCGTTGCTGCAGAACCC